AGTCATTATACTGTGGCTGCACAAACTGCAGTGGAGTGAATGGGATGATGATGCTGCTGAGCTCTTTGAAGCAAAAAGAGAAGAACTTCTAAGAGCTATGACTACATGCCATGAAATGTTTCACTGTCCTGCACATACAGCAAACTTTTCACTCCATCCCAAAAATCTTGAATATGGCCTCAATGAAAATAAGTTTGAGGAAGTTGATGCAATTTGCATCATCCTTGATGGCAAGGTGCAAGTGGCTGAAATTCCAACAGGAGATTGTAACCATTGTGTGAAAAGTGGCAGTAAAGAAGACTGGCTTGATTGAACAAGATCTTCCAGTAGATTTTTGGTTGGAGGGCTTTTGTCAACAGTTTCCTTTGCTGAAAGGAGTCCAAATATTCCGCATCATAATTGCCAAAACAGCAGCCACTGAGAGAAATTGATCAATGTGGGGCAGGATTCATTCCAAAACTAGGAATTATCTCACTGTCCAAGGCTCAGAAATTAGTTTATGTGAACCATAACCTAGCACTTTTGGATGCAACATGAGTGATCTTTGTTTAGCATTCCAACTCATGCATTCTATGTGGTAAAATTTATTTTAACAATGAGATGTTGACTGGTCAAACCTAGCCAAGGCCTGTCCCAAGCCCGGGTAAATGGGAAGGGTTGCGGCAGGGAGGGCATCTGGCGTAAAACATTGCTCCAATCAACTATGAAAGCAGACAACAATGGAAGTAGAGTGACAGCTAGGGCATCCCCCGCAAGCGACGCGCGAGAAGACCGTTGTAATCCCATGACAAGACAGCAACAACTACCATATGAAGAGTGCATATGGCTAAAGAAGATAGCTCAATGATGGAAGAGAAGAGAGGGTGGGGAGAAGACCATCAGACTTGGAACCCTCAATGTCGGAACTACAGTATGCGGCAAAAAAAGGCTACACTCGTGTCCAGATTTATAACTTCTTCCAGAAGTGGAACTGGGCCACAATATTTTTTTCTTAAGTAGAGGTTGGGTGATTCTTTATAAATAGTTCCAAGATTTTGAGATTTGTTCGCATTTAGTCACAATGGATTCCAAAAGAGAGGCCATCATCGATTTGTCCCACGCTGGGAAGACCCCCACCGAGATTGCCAATGCCCTGAACATCCACAGGATTACTGTGTACAAGGTCCTCAACAAATTTAAGGCCACTGGCAATGTCAAGAGGAAGCCTGGAAGTGGAAGGCCACGTTCAGCAAGTACTCCGGCAAGTACTCCGGCAGAGCGATAAAAGGAAAAATCCAGCTCAACCCCATCCAGTCCATGAGGAGGATGGCCAAGGAAACGAAGGTGAGCAAGAGGACAGTCAGGAGGATTGTCAAAGAGGATTTGGGAGTCAAGTCAAGGGCCAGGGGAAAGAGGCAGCTCTTAAATGAAACCTCCAAGACTAAGTGAGTAGCAAGAAGCCAGAAACTCCTCCAATCTTCAAAAAGAGAAAACCAGTGAATGTCTTCACAGATGAGAAGCTCTTTTGCATTGATCATGCCTCCAACAGTCGCCATGACTGCTACATCAGCAATCAGAGGCCTGAGGATATCCCCGAGCACATCAAGGTTCACCTTCAAGACCAAGCATCCGGCCTCTGTGATGGTCTTTGGGCTTGTGACCTCAGATGGTAAGAAAATGCCTCCGGTCTTCATTGAACAAGACATTTCCTTTTTCAAGGAAAAGTCTGTGAAACCTTGAATCGAGTCCAGCTACCCTCTGGACACCAACTATGTCTTCCAGCAGGACGGGGCCCCTGCCCACACTGTGAAGAAAACCCAGAAGTGGCTGGAGGTCAACTTTGTGTCCTCCTGGGAGAAAGATATGTGGCCCCCCAGCTCTTAATCCCCTGGACTACAGCATGTGGGCATTTGTAGAGGAGGCTGCCTGCAACAAACCCCACTCATCTGTGGCAGCCCTGAAGTCCTCCATCACGAAGGCCTGGTCCAACATGATGGAGGACTACATCATCAAGACATGCTCAGCCTTCAGAGGCCGTTTGGAGGCTGTGATCAGGGCTGATGGTGCCAATATTGAGTAAAAGATATTGTCAGATGTTAAATCAAATATTTATAATTAAATACATTTTTTTGTAAAATCTCTCCTTGTCATAGTTCTTGATGAGGTATATCCAGACACGAGTGTAGCCATTTTTTTGCCACATACTGTACTTACAAATTTTTTTTTTTCACCTCAAATGGGTAGAACAGGTCCAGTGGTTGAAATGCAAGCAGAAGGTGCAACTCAGCATCCTTCAATGCCTTCCCCTCAGATGCATTCCAAAAAGTACCTCTTAATCTCATTATGAAGGTGTTCATTCATCTGCTTCCTTTTCTTCTTTACTTCTAATAAAGACAGAGGAAGGGCCAAGGAGCTATCTCCCCATTCTCTACCAAGAGGATTACCCTGCACTGTCTCTAATCTTTCTGTACTTGTGCTCTTTCAGAAGTAGTAAAAGTAGGTCAAGAGAAAAACTGACAAATCTCAATTTGAATAATCCGCACATGTAAGTGTAAGAGTTCCTTTTGTCTAGTTCTTACCATGGCCTCATGATCATTACAATAATGAATATAACATGGGATGAAGACAGAGCACTAGAACCATGAATAATGATTTTGATGCAATATTACCTCCAAGCTCCCACCTAATGACAAATGGCTGGGAGGCAATTACCTGCACCTAATGCAGATCCATGCTCATTTGTCTAGAAGTGCCTTTCATGTTCTTAAAAGATCTGATAATCCTCACTTCATCTCTATTCTGCTCTTCTAGTGATAAGATTTGCTGAATGATGATCATAATATCATGGAGATCAAAATGGAATATTTCCCACTAGGACAATATAATGATAATCAAATGATAGTATAAAGAGTGCATTCTATTGCCACTTCCTTGAGTTGTGGAAGTGTTGGAACTTCTACTTTGAGAAACAAACAATACTCACTTCTTTGCTGCACCTGGCAAACCCACTATAGACTCCTCTGATAGTGCACTAACTAGTCCCTCAGATGCATCAAATAAGCCCAGAAGTGACTGCAAAAGCAATGAATGCAAATATAAATTATGGCAACAATCAATAGTGAATTATTTTACATGGAATTAAAATGAAAAACCAGCAGAAAGAGATGAACAGAAAACTTTCTGACATTTCTTTCACTGAGATCTGCTGAAGGGAGATTCATTTGCTTCTTTCTTGGAATGTAGATGATTTTTTCTTCATCTTCTTCCAAAGGATTCAGCGGCTCAAAATCAGTCTTCTGAACGTGGACCTTGTGCTTGGTCATCATGTGGGCCTGGATGGTGTTGATGTTGGCACCCAGGTAGTCGCAGATGCTGCACTGGCATCGGGGCACCCCATGCACGCGGATGTGCTCCACAGCGACCCTGAGGGTCTTCTGTCCCCGGTCGAATGCCTTTCCGCAGTGCGGGCAACGATGAGGTTCGTCGAGACTTAGATTGCAGCAGATCCTGGCGTGATCCTCCAAGTCCCGGAAGGTATCGAATGTATGGCCGCATTTGCACACGGGACACACATACAGATCCTTTCCACTCAGTCCCCTTTTCCTACGTGAATTTGAACTGCCTGAATTGTTAGGTGTTGAGCTTGGGGTTTGTAAGGCACTCTGGTTGAGCAAGGATTCTCCTGGGCTAGCATCAGATTCACTTGTGGTTCTCTGAAGCTGTTCTGACTCCATAGGAGGAACACAACTTTCGCCTTGATTTATCTCCATCTTAGAGGGCTGTTGAGGTAATCAAAAGCTTTATTGTGAATGGAAATCCATGCAAAGATCTGTGATCTTAACAAAGCTTCATTAAAATTTTTCCTTACTAAACTTATTAATTTTTTCAACCAGACCTGCTCTGTGACTATAGGCTCATAGATTGCCGGTTACATTGCTTAATGTTATTGCTCTGACAATAAGAAAATAACCCATGTAGGAAAATCTCACCATTTCCTCGCTAAGGTCCTGAAATGGGGCAATACCCCTCCTATTCCTTGGGACATATATGATTTTTTCTTCATCCTGTTCCAATGGGTCCACAGGCACAAACTCCTTCCTTCGTACATGGACCTTGTGCTTGGCCAGCATGTGTGCTTGAACAAAGTTAATGGTGGCAGCCTTAAAGTCACATAGACTGCAGAGGTAGCGCAGCACCCCATGCACTTGCACATGTTGAATGGCAGCTCTCAGCCTCTGCATTCCTGTGGCGAATTCCTTCCCACAATGTGGGCAATGGTGTGGCCGATTGTGGTGACGACTATCACAGATTTCAATGTGGGTCTTCAGGTCACAGAAGTTGTCAAACGCAAGGCTGCATCCATACGCTGGACAGAGGTACAGCTCCTTCCCGCTCAGTCCCCGTATCCTCAATCTTTCCGACCCGATGGATGCATCCAGCATCATGATCTGCGAGTCGAGACTGGACACGATCACGTTGGAATGAGACTCATCTGTGACTGTCTGAAGCCTCACTGAATCTACTGAAGGAACAAACTGCTCTAATGATTCCATTGGAAAATGACAATGTTTCACCAGAGGCATATAGACCTGTACATGATAACAGACCTGCAAGGGCAAAGGAACTTCATTATTAATTCATCAGGTACAGCAAGCTTGATGCCATTAATTCACCCTGATACCAATGCTCTTAAAAACCCCACCTTAAGCCCAGCACTTCAATTGCAATAATTGTTATGGCCATGATGATTATGGTGTTCCAAGATCTAAATGGCATAGAGGTCTTTTGTGAGTGTGGAAGTCTATCAGTGCACTCCTCAACCAATGTTAAAAAGTTTCCAATACTGTTACTGTAAAATTCATTTTCAGTGTAGTCTTGCAAAGTTACTGAAGTGCACGAGCTTGGGAAAATCCTCTGTAGTGAGCATCAATAACAAAACTAATAAAGGATGATGGCATGTTGAACTACTTCATATGCACAGATACCAACATATGAGGACCAGCCCTCTGGCAGGAGATATGAATTGTAACACTGAAGCATGAAGTATGCTAAAAGATCTTTCAAGAGCAATGCAATATATCATTCATATACTGCTCCAGCGATTTCTCCAGTGCTGCAATGCCAGATTGCAGGATACCATTGGCAGCTGGCCAGAACACGAACAGGATGATCTGCTGACAGATCAGTTGTAACAAGTGATTGTGTTTTCAACTGCCCCAGTTGCAACTAGCTGCTGCCAGATTCCAAATGGAGGAAAAGAGAAGGAAAATGGTTTCCACGGTGCATATTATGAGTCATACGAAAAGCATTTCAGCCTGATCAGTTTCCTTTACATTGTTACTATTTTAGGGTCCATTTATCATTCTCCTTTTGGGTGTATCATATACTTGATAGGTGAAACAGCTTTCATTAAGCCACCAAGCACTACTACAGAAGATTCATTCTCCAATCGTAGAATTAACATTTTAAAATGAAAAACATGTTGTTGCAACTAAGGGGTAGAACAAGGCATGGGTTGAAAACTGGAATCTATGAGCTGGAGTCAATTGAATCCCTGCTGGTTAACAGACATATGTTCCATTGGAACTTGATTTCAAGAAATTTTGTGTTGGCAAATGTACAAAACTCACGGTACTCTTTGAAAAAGTGAAAAACGTCCAACAATGCCAAGTCTCCGGACTTATGAAATTGCCTCTGCAATTTCCACCATGAAAGATGTTGCCATGGGTCCGTGTTTGCTTCTCTGGTGCAAGATCTCGGGGCATCGGTTTCGCAAATAGAACCAGTTTATTATTATCAAGCACGTTTCACAAGTGAGCAATTGAACTCTGGATGGAAAGAAATTGTCCTGTGGAATAGATGCAATGCTCTTCTCGACTTCCTCGAGCCATTGTCACGATTATCACCGATGACAGGACCATCTTGCTCTGTTTCGTTCTTCGTGTGGCACATTGAGACTTTAGCATGATGCAATTCTTGATGACGATAAAGTTGGCCGGGAGATTGACGTCTGCATTAAGCGTACGGCAGGTGCACAAACCGTTTCTGTACCTGTGGATGAATGAACACTAAAAAAAAAAAAGCCAAGTAAACAAGCAAACAAAAACAAAGAACCAAGAAAAAGAAACAAAACAAAAAGCAAATAAAATCAAACATTGTAAATCAAAACTAAATGAAAAATATGGCAGATGCAGTCAACCCTTTTCTGGGATCCAATATTTGCTTTCTATATCTAAAGAAAATGCAATTAAGGCTTCCAAAAATATGTAAAATCCACTTATTTCAAAAGAAAACTTGGATTTTCCATCATTAGCATGAATTCAAACAACTTTAATAGGAGTCAAAATGAAAGGAAAAATAAATAGGGATGCCAATATCGTCAAGATTTGGGACCAAGTTGAATTTACAAGAGCCATCAAGTACAATTGGCAAAAAAAAGGGTTGTACAGTATCAGCAGCATAAAATCCAAACAATAATGAGGTAACAACAGAGAATACAACTGACTCTTCATAGAAACTGAGAAGGCTGCCACAAGTGTCCCCAAAAAACAATGGACTCAGATCGAGGATATTTACTTCTAGTTTTCAATTTCGCAGAATTGACACTAAATGAATAATAAAGAAAACAGATATTTAAGGACACAATTTTTGATCTTGGAGTCAACAGTGATGAATATCTCTACTGACTATACAAAGGATCTTCAGCTGCAGTTCTGATAATAAATTGTAAGAGGATTTCCTTGAATTTTTATAATCTTACTTTGCCCAAAAGAAGAACAATGAGTGAAACTGTAATATATATATGACTTTATGCTTCTTTGGAGGCTAGTTTTTTTTTTTTAATAAGAAAATCTCCATATTCTTTTATCCTATTCTTTGCTTCCTTAACTAAATAGTTTCATCTACCATTAGTATTAAAAAGATCTAAGCCAAACTCAACAGTGATGTGGATAGATTTTTAAAGCAAACTGGAAAATCTATGAAAACACCATTCCAACAGTCTCATGATTTTTGGGGACGCAACATATGTGGTCGAGGCCTGAGAATGCTGCCCAAGAAAAGTTTCCTGAGGGACATGCTCTACTTGGGTAAATAAAGCAATGTTGAATATATACTTTCTGGCATAAATAATGTACTAACCCATACGCAAACAAATACCAGAAATGAAAAAGAAAAACACAGAAATGCAGTAATCTATAAATGATTTTTTAATTTAAAATTTAACTGGGAAAAAAAATCTGCTGAACACAATATGCGAGAAAAAATTCTAGCAAAATATTATACAAGCAATGCAAAATGAAGAAAAGCCAAGAGGGAACTCAGAACACAAATGAGACCCCATAACCATTTACAAGCAGAATAATATAGTTTCAGGAGATTACATCCCAGATATCTTACATACACCAGTGTGAACTGAAAATCAAGAGCTCAAAAAAAATCAACAGCTTGAACTCAAAATGCAGAGAGCTGGAGATGCAATGAAGATTCAGGAAAATATGGAGAAAAAAGTTTTATCTCCATGACCACATAAGGGAATCAATGAAAATGTGAAATTCACACAATTTGTACCTTGGAGTCATAGCCAATATGGCAGCAGGGACCTTGAAGTCAAAATTTTCATATTCACATGGTGGCAGCTGGGAAGTCCAGTCAAAATTTAAACTCTTATAAGAAGGTAGCAAGAACCTTCGTGTCAAACATAATTATTCATGTGGCAGCAGCAGGTAACATCCAAAAGATAAAATTTACCAACTTATGAGGTAACAGCAAATTTACCAAATTCATGCCAATTACAAATGTTCATTTTAGAGGGTTAAAAGAATCTGTCAATCCTAAAATAAGAGAAACCTTCATTGATTGGGCTCTGGTGACCAGCCACTCGTCTGGGAGCACTTGAAGGTGACGCCAGAAAACTTGAACTCTTCCATCCCCTGATGCTGGTAGAATGTCCGCAATGCATCCACGGTCACCTGATGGTCCTGCACGAAGAACGGATCAAGGTCGGGATGGTCATCCCTGTTGTGGACCATCGCGGACTTCCGCATGCGGAAATTCTGGCCGCAATGGCCACATGCCCAGGGGAAAGTGTGTCGCATCATGTGTTGCTGAACTGAGGTGGACTTCACTGATTGATTGCAGAAAGGGCATTCCATCAAATGGCTTTTTATACCTGGTCTTTTCCTGTAGAAAAATATTCCAAGTCACAAGAAGAAACCATATTTTTCAATGGCATTTAACTGGATACTAGTATTCACAAACCATGGGATACAAGCTTTCAATGTCAGTAAAACAGCAATCAGATACAGTAAAACTGCAAAGTAGCTCAATGTAGCTTACACTTTTTACTTTGCTAACATCCACAAGAACCAAGAAACTTCATTATACATACTGGTCATTACAACAAATCATTTTAAAAAATCAGACAACTCACTTTTGCATGATATCAGATGAATCCACTAAAGATGATGCAGTTGGCCCATTTAAAACCCCACTGGATACTTTGGTGTTGTCCTGGTGCAACTGCAATGAATGACCACATGTGAGTATAAAAAAAATTCAGAATGTGAAAGAAATAATGAAATAAATGATAAAAAAGGCCTTCTTACATTGCTTACACTGAGGTCTGAGGATAGACCACTCCTTGGCCTCTTTCTTGGAAAATGGATAATTTTTTCCTCATCTTGCTCCATGGAATTCATCAACTCAAAATCTGTTATCTGAATGTGGTCCCTGTGCTTGGCCATCATGTGAGCTTGGCTGGCCTGAATGGTAGGACCCTTGAAGCTGCAGAGTGTGCAGTGGTATCGAAGCACCCCGTGCGAGCGGATGTGGCGAACGGCCGTCCTCAGCTTCACCCGTCCCAGGCCGAATTCCCTCTCGCAGTGCGGGCACTGGTGGGGTTCACTGTAGAGAAGATTATCACATGCTCTCGAGTGAGCTTCTAGGTCGCCAAAAGTATTGCACTTGAAGCTGCACTTGAACACAGGGCAAAGGTACAGATCTGTTCCACGCAGCCCCCTTTTGCTTGCTTTCTTCAAATTGGCAGATCTGCTTGGGATTGGAGAAGGGGATTTGGGGACATTATCGTTGCAACTGGGATCAGTTTCATGAGTATGAGATTCACTTTTCACCGTCTTGGGTGGCATTGACGTCATTGCAGGAGCAAACTTTTTGACTTTGGGTCCCTGGAAATATTAGGGATGATTAAAATAATTTTTTGTTCATTGCAATGAAATAAGAATAATGAAGGGTGGGACAATATGAACAAAACCATACCTTTTCTTCCGAGGAGTTCTGAGAATGACGTCCTTGCCTTTTCTTCGGGACATATATTATTTTTTCCTCATCTTGTTCCAACGGATTTAATGGCTCAAAATCTTTCTTTTGAGTGCGAACTTTGTGCTTGCTGAGTGTGTGGGCTTGCACGGCAAGAATACTAGCAGCCTTGAAGTCACAGCGATTGCAGTAGTATTGGGGCACCCCATGCACTCGTATATGGTGAATGGCAGCCCTGAGCCTCTCCTGTCCAATGGCAAATTGTTTCCCGCAGTGCGAGCATCGGTGACCTTGATTGTAGCGGCGATTATCACAGATCTCGGCGTGATCTTTCAACTTTTGGAAGGTGTCACACACGAAGCTGCATTTGTACACGGGACACAGATACAGGTCCATCCCCCGTAGTCCCCGTTTCACAGACTTCTCCAAGCTGGCAGAGCCATCTGGAGTACGGGCTTCTTCACTGCTCTCTTCAAGATTGGACTCGGGTTTGGCAATTGGAGATTTGTCTGCAACTATCTGCAGCTTCCCTGACTCATTTGAAAAATCACAATTGTTGACTGGAGGTATCTTAAGTTGCACAGGAAGGGATATCACCTGTCAGGGCAAAGAAAAAGAGATTTTGAGAAATTGTTAGTTATAAATTTTTTCAGAATTGACTGAGAGTCATATATTTCAAACTAGATTCTTCTGTATTTCTGCAGTCAATCCAAAAGTCATGAGAAAAAAAAAAGAAGCAACAAAAAGAACTCTTCTAAAAGCTTAATCATATCTTGCGTGGAGATATGAAGAGGTGATATAATTAAGTTTTACAGGCTGCCTTTACTTTTAATAGGAAGCACATAAAAAAGTAGTAAGTAGCAAAATGCAACAACTTGCATGAGGGCAGAGAGTCTACTGCACCCTGAAATCTTCCTTGAAGAGATGGTTTGGCATTCCAAGTTGTACACCAGAATGTAAATTAATTGCATGAATTACACAACTGCTCATTGGAGACGAATGCAGGCTCCAGTTTCTCACGGAATGAGTGACTTTCCTTTTAGATATATTAAGGGTGCTAGAGGACCAAACTCTCAAACTTTTCTCTTGCGACTGCTTTCCTCAAGGAAAGTTTTATTTATATAAAATAAGTTTATTTAGGATATTGCAGAAACAAAAGTTTCGAGAGTGAGGTTTGGCAAATATTGACAAGGGAACAATCTTCGCCATCCAGATCAATACCATCATGTACAACTTGAAAAGACAAGATAAAATATGCCTTCCGTGAGAACATTCTGTATCATGAGGCTCATCATAAAATCTGAATCGAATGCCTAACTGAAGCTGAAAATGGTTGCTTGTTCCTGGACCTAGTTCCATCTCCAACTTCTGGAGGGGCCCAACTGTCAGAGGCACACCTAAAAATGGGTCTCAGGTACATAAGCATTTCACATTTGTACACTAGTTGCAGGACAATTGGAAAAAAGTACTTGGCAAGAAGGGTCAGGTTCATAGCAGGTGGGTGCATACATCTGCCTGATGAAATGACATTTCCTCATGACAGAATCTCACCTTCAATTTAAGCAAAACTTGAAGTTCCAAGTTTTGAGTTTATTTGAGCTAAATCATAGCAATAAAAAATTAATAAAGTTTGTAAAGGACCATTCAGAAAAATCATATACTTTCTCACCTTTTTTTTAATATGGTTATTCAAGATGTGGTTCTCCTGCTTGCCCAGTGGGACATAGATTATTTTTTCCTCATCTTGTTCCAGAGGATTTCTCGGCTTGAAATCCTCCTTCCGGACGTGGACCTTGTGCTGGGACACCATGTGGGCCTGAACAGTGTTCACAGTGGCGCCCTTGAACTTGCACAGGCTGCAGTGGTACGGCCGCATCCCATGCACGAGGATGTGACGGACGGCTGCCCTCAGCCGCTCCAGGCCCTTGCTGAAGCCCTTCCCGCAGTGCAGGCACCGGTGCGGTCGATTGTAGCGGAGGTTGTCGCACATCTCGATGTGATCCTTCAGGTCACAGATGGTCTCGCACGCAAGGCCGCATTTGTACACGGGGCACAGGTAAAGGTCCTTCCCGCTCAGTTCCTTCTTCCTCGGTTTTCCCAATTTGGGAGAACTGTCAGGCATTTTAATTTTGGCATCGAGGATGACCTCGACTTCATTGGAGTGAGATTTGTTGGTGACTGGGTCAAGGCCTCTCTCAAGCCTCATTGATTCCATCATAATAGCAGAAACTCTGACAAAAAATAAATGCACTCACCAGGCTTGAGATCAGACCTGTCAGGACAATAGAAATAGGATTATAATGCCTTTATAGTGCCTAAGGTATTTACAAGGAATGAGTCCATGGCTGTTGCTTATTAGCCAGACACACTCAAGGGAGACCTGAAAATTTATGGACTGCCCTAAATCAATCCAATGAATAGCTTTTTGGTTAAAAGTAAAATCTAATAAAAATGCCATCCATCTTGTTCACTGAGTTAATAGTGGAGCTGGGTCTATAATGCAGTTTAATGATGGAGAGCTGGATCTACAGAGCAATTTGGTACTTTTGATACCAAATGGCTGGAATATCCAGGAAACTGATATACTGCATTTGTTATTGTAAAATATGACTAGGCCTACCTTTGCAATTAGAATCACATCTGCCACCTCAAAATAACTGTCCCAGGCTAAGTTTCTGACTGAGGTGGAATTTAAGCATTCCTCGCTTTCGCCATGGGATGGGGGGTTGAAGTCAATCAAAAGTCACTGTAACGCCTTAACAACATATGCCCAATCGTGCCCAGCATTTGGGCAACTTGATTTTGGTTCCACCTTCATCACTGAGGTTTCTCGACGTCCCTCGCCTAGAGACGAAAGCATCGAATGCTGAGTCCCTCTTCTTAAACATGCCGGGAATGAGCGCCTGATTTGGTCGGTATTGAACACAGGTGTCCCTGCCACGGTAACTAGGCCAAGCTGTCATCCCTGCCACTCTCCTTTATTAGCCCTGTTTAATGACGTCACAAGCGGTTCTAAACTGCCTAGCTGCATACTCCCCGGCTTCGGCTAACATCGATCACTTTCAATCTCCCTTGCCAGCTGTGGATGGAGACATTGCGAAGGCGACAACATGGGCAGCACGGTCAACACAGCTGAGAGCAGACATTGGCTTGACAGATTGGAACACCTGCGATTGGCCGGACAATGTTTGGGGAGACACGCAACCAATTAACTGAGTGCATGCGCCTTCTCGACCAATCAGAAGGTCGGAAAAATTAGTGATGGCTGCCCTCATAGTCGGCATGCTGCCCTCAGTCTCGTGCCTGCGGGACTCGTGTTCTTTTAGCGTCAGGAAGATCCGCAGTGGTTTGCAGATTTTAACTATGGTCCAAGCTTCCTTACTTTGACCTCTCGACTGCTGCGGCCAGTACACGCAAATGCGGATCGCATCGCAGAATCGTTGATTGAAGAATTCTTGCATCCAGCAAATGATAAGGTTTAGAATGATTCGTGGCTCTTTGAAAGTGGGTTCCACTATCCTCATTTGAAGCAGTTTCGCAAGAGGTAACCCCCACACTTTCCAGCATGGCATTAGAATTACCATCCAGAAAACCTCACAATGAAGACCTCATCGAAAGGATCTTTTTTAGGGATTTAAATATTTTTAAAAGTAATTTCCATACACGCTTGTTCCTAGATTAGTTCAGGGCAGCACAAATCATAGGCCATGTTAAAAGGGTCATTTTCACCCAATGCACATCTCGCATCCCCACACAGCTTCACTTGGACATGAATGCTTGTTTGGCCTGGATGTGTTTGGAGGTCTATGAATGCCTTGTGGAACCCTGGCACTTGTTCTGCAAGTCCTCCCATAGAGAAGAATGAGTTTTCCACAAAATCTGCAGAATTCATGTGTCAATTCTGTTTTAGGCCTGTTGTGTGGGCCAGTGTGCCCATATAACATGCTATTGGTGTTTTTGGCCATTTTATTGGGCACATGAAATTGATTCAGGTTGGGTGTCACCATGACTGTTGGATGATGCCATTTGTGTTGCCTGAGGTTTCTGCCAGGCAGTCATCACCAAGGCCAGAGAATGACATGAACATCATCCTTAAATTTGAATTTCCATGTATTTTACACTTACGCATTTTAAAGCTCTTTTGGAATTTAAATTGCAACTGGTGAGTCCCATTTCTCCTGCTTTCTCTTGTGTCAATGTTATTCCTATGGAGTTATCTTCAATTAAGGTTTCACACATTGATCTGCTTCTACTCTTGGCCTAGTTGCAGTACTGTCCAAAAGCTTTTGGACCTGAGACAACTCACACTATTCTTTAAACCTTGGGTGTTAGATCATTTCTAATGGTTTGGTAGATGCAGCACCAAATGTGGTTTTAGTTGGTCCTGCCATATAGACCCAAGAATGTCAAGAAACTCTTTGTTGAAGCAGTATTTGAAGTACCGGAGAATGATATAAAAAGAAATCCCATGTCAGAGTGTCACTCTTCCTGTAGCAGTGGACCTGACTTGCACATTTTTTCTTAAGTAGGGACTCTCTGATCGGAAACGTCAACTAGTCTGTCAAAGATATAAAACAGTGATTGTGCCATCTTAGAAATTGTACCATTGCCTGAGTAGGGCTTCCATTGCATGGAAGGTATTAGCAAAATGGGGACAGAGGAGTGACTAGGTAAGAAGGTGAATGTGGTAGTGTACCCCATGTTGGTTGTTTGGCTTCCCTCAAGTTTTACAACCTGCATGACAACTAAGCATTTGGGTTTACTGAGAAACCTTGGAATTTTTTGTATCCACCCATGAGATATTACTTTTTACTAGCTGCATGATGGGCACTATGAATGCAATGATGTGTTTACGTGATTCACAGGTTTTCAGATCTATGCAGCTCCCAACCAGTGAGGGGGTAGTGGAGGTGTGAAGCAGGGAGCATCAGCCACATTTGCTACTTGGGAATGCTATGGGGATTCCATCTTCCTCCATCTTGCGGGGAGATGGGAGGCAAAGGGTTGATAGGAAAGTAGTGCTGTCTCTGATTTCTTTCCTCTCTCCCTTCATTTATCACAGTGTTCCCTTTTGTTCCAGAGGTGCCTGATGCCTAAATGTGTTTCATTGCTCATCTCTCCCAACCCACATTTTGTGCAAATCTAATATATATAGACAATCGTGACTGACTGATGCTAATTCTAACCATGTTCAAATATTTTTTTTTGTCCTGGCATATTAAGCTAGTGTGGAAAGATGAAACTTGGTACATAACTACCTACTGGGATGCTGCAGAAAACTTCATACTTTGGAAGTAAATGCCCCTGGGGCACAATTTTCAAAGGGAGATGTTTTCAACTAATTTTTTGTATCAGTTAAACTGATTAACATGGAAAGCTGAAACTTTGCATGAATGTGACTACTGAGACAAATATTTAAATTAAAATATCAAGTCTCGATACATCCACTGGGGGAATGTTTTTGAGTGGCGATTTTTTTATGGAAAAAAATATTGGCGAATTGGACAGAAATGGAAAGGTAAACCTTGGCACACGTATAAGTGACATCATATTATTGAGTTGAGGGAGCATTCAGCTTTCCCGGGGCATCCCCTCTGGCCATAGCTTTTTTGTGGGTCGGCTTTTCCAAGCATGTTTTTTTACCAGCGAAACGGGTAAACGTATAATATTGAAACTTTGTGGGCATGTAGTTCACCGGGAAGACATAGAAAGGTAGCTGGCGCATGCATCACTGACGTGATGTTGATTAAAGGAAAAATTAAACTTTTTTATACGTCTCCTCAGAGCACAGATTTGGCTGGGTCGTTTCTCCAAATATATTTTTCCGTCAGCAAAAAGGGGAAACGTATAAGGCTGAAACTGGGTGGCATGGAGTTCCCTGAGTCTACATTTCAAAACGTCCTTTCTTCAATCCCATATTCCTGATTTTTTTTTGATCCAACGAAAGAAAGACCTAAAAATTTAAACTTCGCTTAGAAGTACCTGTTAGATGGCTGAGTAGAGGAAAAATCCTAATTTTGAAATATGTCTCCTTAGTGTAGATTATTGGAGGGAAAAATTTCAAAATTTCTTCTCCACCCTTACTAAAAGGGATACAATAAAAGATTCATAGTTAGGCACATAGAATCATAGAAGGAATGATTTCGATCGAAATCAAGATTTTCGACGCCATATGTCATGTATTTCAATGGGGAAGTACTTTAAATACGTGTTTCCCATTTCGCAAAAAAAATGAATGACCTAATCACTATCCAAGGTAATGGAGAGCTGAAGGTGCCACCAAAGGAAGTTTGTTTGCCCGAGGTGCAAACAAACTCGCTAGTTATAAATATTAGTGGCAGTTAAACTTGCTGCAAGCCGGAGAAAAACGAGTGCTCCGGGGTCGCGGAATGAATCGCCATGATCTTCAAAGACCCGAGTAGTATTCGAACTCGTTCAATGAACGTTTCATTCAGGGTATTGCTAGCGTTCCATTAACGCCCTTGGCAACGTTCTATTGACTGCTTAAATACCCGAAATATAGAGCGATAAAGACCAATTCGAATTTTGTCTTTCATGAAGGACGTGGATTGGATATATCCAAGAAAAGGGTTTGACGAAAATTTTCTCTCCAGGATTCCTACAATAAGCATTTACATTTTTCGATACGTGCTTTTTTCACTTAAATTGCATTTATCTTAAGTTAAGCCTTGTTCACGTGGCTGGGGTCGGATGCCGTCATGTAGACAATTTGGTTGAAATCAATACCTTCCTTTTCTTTTGAAAGTCCCGTAAAGAGAACCGAGTGGAAATACAGGCATACAGCGGTAACGTTCCTCATACATGAATTTATTTCTCATTCAGTCGGTGTCAGACACACCCTGTGCCGAAAAATATTTTCCTAGATGCAAGGAATGTACACTATCCCCATTAAGTGACCTTGGAATTTGAACCATCCACCTCCCATTTTTCGAGCCAGTGTTTTCTGGAGACTCCTTGGACTGGGTCTAAAGACCTATTACTTCGAGAATTCAACTATCTTACCATCTGGTTTATGTGGTGAAAGAATGGCTCCCATGCGGAAGATATTGGGGACTGATTCCAGCTGTGTGTGGAATCGACCCGCTATAGCGACTGCTTTTGCGTCACCTAACATCGGTTGTGCCAACCTTTGGTTCAAGCCATTGTCAATGCATACCATAGATATGCTTGAGGAAAACATATATCTAGCGTTCAATCAATGTCCTTCAAA